GAACAGCCGAAAAATATATACTTAGCTTCAGATGCACGCTAGGTGGGGTTTCTATTCTCAGTTCAGGTGGGATCGATACCACAAGATAAAATATGTGTTCTGTCTCGGGCATATCGACGAGCCGTTGATTGGTTACTTTTCTGTCTTGATGGCTCCGAACGACAGCTCCATGAACAACCAATTCATACCGATGCTTTCGGCACTAGAATAGCGACTTAAAAATATTTCGTTTTATTTCTTGTCCGATTGTATTTTCCCTTAAATGCTATGGTTTTTGATGGCTACATGTATATTTTTGGCTTGCTGATCAGACGTATACGTGTACATACATATGCTTGCATGCACAAATATATTGTGTGATACATTCATGTCGACAATTTATATAACGAAAAATCATAGTCACCTAAGGGTAATACGGGGCGATTCCTTCCGCTTGGCACTATAGTTAGCAGGAACCACACCGCATAGCCTTATGCTGCTTATCCGCGGTCCCATGGAACGACATGAATTCACAACAAAGATTAATTTCATGGAAGCAGTAGTTTTGCAGGTTAAATGTTGATGTACAAAGGTTTGTTCAGTACACATACTCATGGGATTGAAACTAGTTGTTAAAACAATAAGCGTAAAGCGATGCTAAAGCGAAGCATACATGCTCCAGTATGCGTCCGGTCGAGGGTTCCAAGGGCTTCTGGTTCCGGGGCGTACGTGGGTCGTATTAGACCAAGGGGGTTAAAAGACAAAAGTGCTACTTCCTAGGCCTCCGGACGACCATTTAGTAAGTGTTGGAGCTGGATGAATAGTCTGCTTGTGCCACATCTCATGGCTAGCTGGGCGGTATTGTCACAGCTGTCGATAGAGGACCGATCGCGAGGTAACTAGAAGGGTGGCGCGAAAGTGCACGAAAGGTGGTAACCACAACAATAGTGAGGACAAAATGACAATGCAACGCGAAGAGGAAATTACGATCGCTCGAGGACAACTTGTATGTTGATTTGCTACAGCTGCGCTCCGAGGAGCTACAGTGCTAACGCAACAACCAACAGCATTACGCAAATTGGTGTACTGAAAAAAACCTGCTATTGCCGCATTGCTCATTAATTGATTAAATATCTATGTACTGTTTTAATGTACTAAACTAACTGCAGTATCCTACTAAATAATTTATACCCTACTCATGCTAGTTCAAATCGCATGCATTAATTTCAAGATGGAGACTGATGGAACAATGACGGAATTTAACGGACCTCCTGTGACTCCATGGGCTCGAAGGGCAACCATTGGTTTGGACCATCCCGAGGACCCCATGCAGGAAGACGACACTTAGTAGCCTGATCAAATATCTCCGCCAGTTTCCACTTGCCTCTATACTACTTTATGGACTGGTCTCCTCATGGTCTCGCCCAAATTAGTACAGCTACGGCATATAACGCACGTCGAGGAAGCCGGTCAACAGACCACGGTGATGGTGACATGGCCAACGTAACTGCTTAAGATTCAACATGCATTTTAGTGAAGTCTTCTTGCCAAACCCAACTGGCGGACTTCAGCATTGCTAACCAGGTGTTCCCACCGGATTTGTGCAATGCTCCGAAAGCGTCAGTGGTCAAATACGGCCAAGCTTTTAATGCTTTTGCCGAGAACTGTCCTAGTATCTGATCTATACAGTAAGACCGGCGTTACTGCAAGGTTTTACACCCTAATTTTCGCTGATAGGCTGATATCCCGCCGTTTGCATAGATGATTGAGCCTCGGAAATACCACACGCGCCTTTCTGATATGCAAAGCTACTCCTTCATTGATGTAACCACCAGAGGTGACACAGCTACCAAGGTTGGTGTACTCATCCACGAGTTCCATCGACTGTTCGGTGATAGCTGGAGCCAGTGGTGCGTGGGTTCAGTCCTGCAGCAGTACAGTGCATTGTGAAGGTGCAAAGTACTTGCTGAAGGTAGCCCAATACGCGTCAATCAGTCCAGTAGTGTTAGCCTAGCTACTGCGTCAAACCCAAGCAGAGCTATGTCGTCCGCATACTGCAGGTTTGTCAGTCAGTCAAATGGCATAACTTCCACACTGGTAGAGTCTGAATGAATGGAGTCACTCATGATCGTTTCGGTAACATGAATAGTTGCATGAATGATTCCGTGCAAAGAAACAGGGGAGTCCAGCGACGTGATCTACATCAACTTCAACAAGGTGAAGTGAACCATAAAGTTATCCATCAAAAGTTGAGTGTGGTGTGTTGACAGCTCACCGGACCGTTGCTCTGCGAGGTTTCCTGACCACGGAATCAACACAGAACAATGAACTTATCCGCAGCTCGCAATCCTGACACACCAAAGAAACCCAGAAAACTAATCAAATCAATACGAGTCACCTGAGTCGTCCGATTTTATCAGTTCCAATCACTTGAATTCGATTCTGGAGACGGAGCGTCGTGTCCGCCAATGGCAATCAATGAGATTTTGACAGTGCGATTGTGGTACACAAGGTTTTTGTTGATAAAAGAAAATATGGGGCTTTTCGGTGCAAGAGTATGTTTATGATTATGTGAAAATCATTGTTACCATGCTGAGGTGAATTATAAATCATTAAACGAAACGGTTTAAATGCCTTACGGTGGTTAATCCTTTTCCCGTTTCTAGCGACAGCAGCCATGGTGGATGATTCTAGCGCCTTTCGACGTATCTTCAAGGGTCCATATCTGGACTTCTCAGCGATCCTGGAGGATTTAAAAGTTTTCAGATTGAAAAGGTGACATGCTTTTTTTGTCAGACCGTTGTTACTGCCGAAGCTTACAAAAGGGAACAGGTCAGGTGCTTCCCGAAGGATGCCGCTACCCATATATTCAGTTTCCGTGCGTGCAAAGCAAGCGAACGAACGTTGCTGAAAAACGGTAAGCATTGTTTATCCGCGTGATAATTTTCCAACAGGTACCGTTTTTACAATTGCCCTGCTCGGTTCACAGTGGTTTTGAAGGGTGGGTGTTACGAGATTGGATAGACTTGCCTGCGTCATTCGCACAAATTTAATATGGGGAAGCCATGGCTGTATGCCAAATATCAGCGGCTAACAACGGAACAGGAATGCATGGTACTGAACCTGATGAAGACTTTTTATCGTGCGCAGGAGATGCGTCCATTTATGCGTCTTTAATATAACATTCGTTTGACGAGGCGCAATTTGTATAACAGACGGCGGCGTCATCGTAACTTTGGTGTCACGGAGGTGGAAGAGGTTACGCAGCTTTTGCAAAGGAATGGTCAGCGGAAAATAATGCGTGTGGGAAATTAGATCCGGTGCCTCTTTTTTGTCACTTCGCGCGTGTTGGAATTGGTGGGCCAATACCAAAAGGTAATTTTGGCCTACTCCACATCTCAGATCAATTACGGTGGTTATATCCTTTGGCCTTGTGTGTTTGTAGACGTCAGTGACCTTGATATCAATTTCTTTTGTGCTCTTTTGCCGAATGAGACGGAGACCAGCTACCAAGAGAAGGTGAGAATTACTCTGGAGTTGGCCACTGGCGTTAACCGTAAGCAAACACTGGTTATGAACAAGTGCGTGGCGCAGGTAAATGCGTTTCGCAATACATTTCCCACAGACAACATCTTTCTCGAGTGGTGAGCCGGTGGCCCAATTCCGCCCTACCAGAGCCGGTTCTGGTGGCCCACCATCCCGGACTCATAATGCTAAATCCCTTCAGGTGATCTTAAGCAATGTGTGTAGCCTTCGAAACAAGATATCCAAAGTCGGCGCCCTTGTCGACCACTGCCGTCCAGATGTTTCCGCATTCACTGAAACGTGGTTGTTCACCGACGTCACGGACAGTGAAGTGCGTTTGCTAGGCTAAGCACTGCTGTGATGTGACTGCACCTCTGATCGACGCGGTGGTTGCGTTGCTTTGTACGTTAACTCCGCACTAACTCTCTTTAAGAGAAATAGTTTCCGATCACCAAACGGTGAGTCTGAGGCACTCGCACTTTACCTGTGTATTGCTTCCGCGTAACTAAGTTGTTCTGTTCCATAGAATCCCCGACAGCGTTGCTAAAAGTCTCGTTGATTTCATCCGTGAACATTCGACACCTAGGTCTTTAGTGATGGGGCACTTTAATCTTTCAGACGTTGACTGGCAGAATTCTTTCTGCGACGCTGTTACAAGGTGTTTTGCTACCGAGTTCTCGAGCTATCCTTGTATGCTTCCCTGTACCATTTTGTCAATCGGCCTACTAGATTCATGATAGGTTAAAACCCGTCCCTCTTTATCTTGATGTTCGCTAAACACCTTGATTTTTCACGGACATTGTATACAACCCACCTCTCGTTGATAGCGATCACGCGTGTTTCTCCTTTAAGTGCGCCCTTAGTCGTCAGACTAACGATCGTCCCCCCGAATTCCAAACATATGGCGCACGGACTTTCAGACAATGAAAGTCAAGGTCGCAAAGCCGCCTTGTGTCATTTTGGAAAGTGACGGAATTCGAACGGGCTGGAACAGATTTAAATCACACTTCACTGAGCTCTTGTAGCAGTCTGGAGATTCCCCGGTTTGCTTGTGTAAAATTCTAACCAAAATTCTATAATTGTACACTTAGGCAACCGGTGTGGTTTGTTGAACTGCTTGCTGAGTTCGAATGCTTCACTTGCTCATCGCCATTTTTTGCTCGGCGCTCGTTTCGGTTGCAACCCGCGACTGCTCTGTGTGCTGTGCTTGATCCGTTCCCCTAGCTAGAGCGTCCACGGTGTCGTTCATTTATAGCTAGCTAACAGGGAGTCTTTTGCTGAACCAATAAAAGTTTCCCTGCAACTCGATCTGTCTTCTCGAATCGCTCTCTGGGCTCCCGAAATAGGCAACCCTCTAAATTGGTGACCCCGGATCCGGAACAATCTCAACGCCGGATATTTCGAACTTTTCTCCGGTGAGCTCGTTCCATTTATTTTTCATATTTTCCGGTTTATTTTTGCATACGGTAGCCTATTTTTGCATCATTTTTTAAGCCATGGAATCTGTAGACCATAAGGTAGAGTCTCTACTAAGCGCTGTAACTCTCTCTGTGCCACCTTTTTGGGACATGGATTTTGTTTTGTGGTTCGCTCATCTTGAGGCCGAGTTTTATAACCACAGAATCACTTCCGACTATGCGAAGTACTGCAAGCTCCTGTCCTATCTCCCCAAGGAGATATCAATGCAGGTTCGTGACGTCATCATTTCTCAGACCGAAAACCGCTATGAGGCTCTCAAGGAAGCCACGATTAAGCGTGTTATGCCCTCTGAGAAAGTTCGCCTGCAGCAGCTTTTCAGGGATCTGCAGCTGGGCGACAAACTGCCCTCAACCCTGCTACGGGAGATGCAGCAACTCCTTGGTTCCTCAACCATGGATGAGACTTTACTTCGCGAACTATGGCTACAACGGCTACCGGAAAACACGCAAGCGATTCTCGCTACAGTGAGCTCCGTTTCGCTCACTCAACTAGCAGACTTAGCCGATCGAGTTATTGAACGAGCACAGCCACAAGCCAACGCCAGCGAGGTCCATGCCGTCGCGTCCCAGGGCACTTCTATCACTGGCTTACAGTCAACTATAGAAGCCCTCCAAACACAAGTTGCGACACTTAGTCGCCAGGTGCAACAGCTTACTATGAACCCTCGTCGTCCTAGCCGCTCAACATCGCCCTGCAAACGTTCTAAGTCTAGAAACAGGCAGGCCAGCTGTTGGTACCATCAACGTTTTGGTACCGCAGCTCGTAAATGTGTCAAACCTTGCACCTTTGCCGAGAAGCAGGGAAACTGCCCGGCCGGTCCGTAACGGCGACGGACGCGACTGGCCAACACCAAAGTCGCCTCATCCGCGTCAGGGATTTAACTTCCGGCACCGACTTTCTAGTCGACACTGGTGCAGAAGTTAGCGTCATACCCCGTAGCTCAGATGAGGTCGTCTCGCCATCGCCGACCAAGCTGCGTGCCGCCAATGGCACACCAATCGCAACTTTCGGCGAAAAGCTGCTAACGCTCAACTTAGGCCTCCGGCGAACCTTTCGCTGGCCTTTCATAATCGCTGCTGTGCCTTTCGCCATCATAGGCATAGACTTTCTTCAACGCTTCGACCTCATCGTCGACGCTAAAAGGAAGAAGCTTATCGACTCCAGGACACAGCTCAGTATTATCGGGACTAGCGCCAACGTGGCTGCTATCACTCCCATTCGTGTCCTACCTCAAGCTTCACAGCCTTTTCTAGAGCTTTTCAGCAAGCACCCTAAACTCGTTCGCGTCCTGAACGACTTGCCTCCTGTGACGTCAAACGTCACGCATCACATCTGCACTAAGGGCCCACCTGTTTCGGCCCGCCCTCGCCGACTAGCCCCGGACAAGCTCAAAGCTGCTAAGGCGGAATTCGAGCAAATGCTCGAACTGGGAATCATCCGCCCGTCCAAAAGTCCATGGGCATCACCATTACACATGGTGCCGAAGAAATCCGGTGCCTGGCGCCCCTGTGGTGACTACAGGGCACTTAACAAAGTTACCGTCCCGGATAAATACCCTATCCCGCACATGCACGACTTGACCTCAGCTCTAGCTGGCAAGTCTATCTTCAGCAAAGTCGACTTAGTTCGTGCCTACCACCAGATACCTGTCGCGCCAGACGACATTGCTAAAACAGCAGTCATCACGCCATTCGGCCTATTCGAGTACCTCAGAATGCCTTTCGGCCTCAGCAACGCTGCCCAAACTTTTCAGCGTTTCATTCATGAGGTAACGCGAGGACTCGAAGGCGTTTATCCTTATTTAGATGACATTCTCATCGCCAGCTCTTCTGACGAGGAGCATCTTCGTCACCTCGACGCACTCTTCCAACGCTTGACGCAGCATGGGGTTACCGTCAACCCCGATAAATGCGAGCTTGGCCAAAGCTCCATCGACTTTCTTGGCCACCGCATATCTGCCTCTGGTATCGAAGCCCTGCCAGACAAAATCCAGGCACTGAAGGACTATCCTGCTCCCAGTTCCTTCAAGCAGTTACGCCGATTCCTTGGCCTGGTCAACTATTATAGACGCTTTATACCTAACTGCGCGAGCATTGTTCAACCAATGACTGACTTGCTCCGCGGTAAACAACGGTCTTTTCACTTTACAGACGACGCTAAATTGTCTTTCGAGAAGCTCAAAGACGCTATCTCCAACATAGCGCTTCTCGCCCATCCAGACACGTCTGCATCACTCTCTCTGACAACTGACGCATCAGACACTGCCGTCGGTGCAGTTCTTCAGCAACTCATCGACCATCGATGGATACCTCTAGGTTTCTTCTCAAAGCGCTTACAACCTGCCGAATCGCGATACAGCACCTTCGGTAGGGAACTGTTAGCTATCTACCTAGGTATCCGACATTTCCGTCACTACCTCGAAGGTCGACAGTTTACAGTCTTCACCGACCACAAGCCATTGATCTACGCAATCAATGGCGCAACGGACAAGTATTCACCGCGGGAAACTAGACACCTAGACTACGTTTCTCAGTTTACGACAGACGTACGTCATGTCTCAGGTGCTCTCAATCCCGTCGCGGATGCGCTTTCACGCATTCAGCAGATCAGCTTATCGCCTGGCACCAACATTGATCTAGCCGCTATGGCTGCTGCCCAACAAGCTGATCCCGACACAGACAAACTACGACGCAACACCTCGTTAAAACTACGTGAAGTCCCACTAGCTTCATCTGAGGGGACCATTCTTTGTGACGTCTCACAAACTTCTCCCCGACCCGTAGTTCCTACCTCAATGCGTCGACTAGTTTTCAATGCTTTACACAACCTGTCTCATCCCGGCATACGTGCTTCGCAGAAGCTCGTAACGGAACGCTTCATATGGCCCAACGTCAATCGCGATGTCCGCCTTTGGGCACGCGCATGCTTAGAGTGTCAGCGCGCCAAGGTCTACAGACACACCAAAAGCCCACTTGGCGTCTTTCCCGCTCCTGACGCTCGTTTTGCACACGTCCATGTCGACCTGGTCGGACCTTTGCCTCCATGCAAAGGCTACGTGTACCTACTCACCTGTGTCGACCGATTCACTCGTTGGCCAGAGGCGATTCCGTTAGTCAACTGCTCATCTGAGACAGTTGCACAAGCTTTCTTAGAACGCTGGGTAGCTCAGTTCGGTTGCCCAAGCGTAGTCATCACTGACAGAGGATCACACTTTGACGGATCCTTCAGCAAATTGCTCAACGTTCTTGGTTGCCAACATAATCGAACCACCGCATACCATCCCGCAGCTAATGGGATGGTAGAAAGGTTCCACCGGCAACTCAAAGCCTCACTCTGTGCCCAATCTAGCACATCCTGGCACGAAGCACTTCCGCTCGTTCTCTTAGGCATAAGAAACACGATTAAAGCGGATTTGCACGCCACTCCATCGTCGCTAGTCTTTGGATGCGCACAACGCTTACCTGGTGAACTCGTCTCACCAAAAGCGCCAACAACTTTCGACTATGGCGACTACGCAGCTCGCCTATCTCATCACATGCGACAGCTTCAGCCTGTGCAACCCAGAGCACAGAGCTTGCGTACAAACGTGGACGAACGGTTAACTACTTGCACGCACGTGTTCGTTCGCACTGACAGCGTACGCCGACCACTTCATCCTCCTTACTCTGGTCCGTACCGTGTCGTACGCAGAAGCGACAAAACGTTTACCATTGACTACAATGGTAAGACTGAGACGGTCAACGTCGATCGACTCAAGCCAGCATACCTTGACAAGTCTGACTCGCCGGTGCAACAAGCACCTTCACAGCCCGTGCCATCACAGCCGGCACCGCAAACGCAGACGAGTCAGCCCGCTCCAGCAGAACCGACAAACACAACCGACAGCACTCCTACCCGCCCTACCCTCAATCGACGCGGTAGGAAACTCAAGCCTCCAGTTCGTTTTTCAGACTTTGTCAGCACTTACTATTTTACGTAGAACGTGCCTTAGAAATTTTCTGCTCTTACTAAACGTTTTTGAAAATCCACAAAAGAAACCAAAACGTTTTGAAACTACCAACTAAGAGCAATATCTTTTGAAAACCCAAAAACAGCTTTGCACGTTTTTCGCTTTGCACTCTTTTGTGTATTGCTATGCATTTATGCTGCTTTTTCATTTTGCTTTCCATATACACCGTCGGTTGGTTGCCCCTCGGTTTCACTTTCCGCTGGATCTCCGCACGTCAACTGGAAGTTCAACAAATCTTCCTGCTCAACTGCCTACGTGAACTTTATTAACTGTCCCCCCCCACAAACAGATTTTAACCGTTTCGACACCGTAGGGAGGACACGGGTGGGAGCCCGCTAGGGTCCGATTGCATGGTTCTCCCCCAGCAGCTGCATCGGGTTTCACAACCTGGTCTCGCAGAAGGCTGGCCCGCGACGGACAGTCCTCACGTAGATCGAAGGACTGCTTACACAGTCCCTTCTGGGAGAGGGCTATGTAGCAGTCTGGAGATTCCCCGGTTTGCTTGTGTAAAATTCTAACCAAAATTCTATAATTGTACACTTAGGCAACCGGTGTGGTTTGTTGAACTGCTTGCTGAGTTCGAATGCTTTACTTGCTCATCGCCATTTTTTGCTTGGCGCTCGCTTCGGTTGCAACGCGCGACTGCTCTGTGTGCTGTGCTTGATCCGTTTCCCCTAGCTAGAGCGTCCACGGTGTCGTTCGTTTATAGCTAGCTAACAGGGAATCTTTTGCTGAACCAATAAAAGTTTCCCTGCAACTCGATCTGTCTTCTGGAATCGCTCTCTGGGCTCCCGGAATAGGCAACCCTCTAAACTCTCTCTCCCCATATACCACTGTCCCGCAGGAATAAAGCTAGGGCAAAGCCACCTTGGTTTGTTTCTGCTGTACGCAAACAACGTAACAGACGTGCCAGATGTTGGCGTGCTTACTTATCCGTTCCTTCATCATGCACCTTCAACCGCTACCGTGAGGCTCGAACTGCCTTCAGACAGCATCTACGAGGTGCTCGACTATGGCATGACGTAGAGTTTGCCCGTTTAGCCTCATCAAACACGAAACGTTTCTCCGCGTGTGTCAAAAGGCGAAGCAACATGAACTTGTGCATCCCAGTGTGGTTTGGCCGCGATAGCACTGCTGCTATCAAGGAGTACGGAAGAGCTTGTTTCCTTGGAGGATAATATACTGAGGTTTATGTGCGAGAGTCCTAACTGCCGCTCATCAACTTGCAGGCAAAAGTTCCTGAGGAAGAGGTTTTTTAAACGGAGACGCAAGTGCTTCGGCTTCTGAGGGAATTAAATCGCAGTGTGAATGCTATTCTAACTGTTGTTTGAGTTGGCTGGTGAGCTTTTCCCTCCGATTATACAACTTTATGTGAAGTCACTATGCAGCTGCTCTTTACCCACTGACTGGAAGGAGGCTATTGTTTGTCCCATTTTTTTATGAATGGTGCCAAGCACCTCCCTGATAACTATAGACGGGTCAGTTTGAGGAGCGTGTTGGTCAAGCTGTGGAAAAAGCTCGTGAGGAACGCTCTCGAAGGACACTTGAGAGAGTTGTAATTGCTTAGTCCTTCTCAGCGCGGCTTTTGTGAGGGAGCTTCTTGCCTTACTAACTTGCTAACGGCTCTTGAGCACTAGGCCGAAGCCGTTGATTACGGGAAGGCAGTGGACATGCTGTCCACTGACTTTGCCAAAGCATGTGACACCGTTCCACATTTCCGCCTTTTGGACAAGCTGAAGTCCTACGGTATTTTTGGACCAGTCTTACGATGTATTGCAGCTTTCCTAAACGGAAGAATAATGCGTGTGCGGGTGGGTTCAAGCCTGTCCGCCGCCAATATGTTCTCAGTGGCATTCCGCAATGTTCAGTCCTTGACCCCCCTTTTCTTCACGTTATACGTTAATAACCTATCCGATGAATTGCTTGTGCCATTCCTAATGTTCGCGGATGATTTGCAACTCTGGTACACGATAGACGATAAGTTTGGTCCGCTGACTCGTTCAGAGGGCTCTGGATAGACTTTGGGACTGCTCCATTTTGTGGCAATTGCCCGTTTATTTAGAGAAATGTTCAATTTTACGCGTTGGTCCGAATGACCCGCCGACGCGTTATTTGCTTGGCGGCAAAGGGGTACCGCGAGTTCCACTCCAATCTGATCTTGGAGTTTTGCTGTCATCAGACTTCAAGTTTAGTGAACACTGAACGACAGCTGCTCGCAAAGGTTTCAACATGTTATGGCTGATCCGCAGGTCATTCGGGATCATGACCACCAAAATGTCCATTAGACTATTTTCGGCTTTTGTGAGGCCAAACTTGGAATACTGAGTTCAGGCTTGTCCTCCATGCCTTTCTTGCGATAGGATGGCAATTGAACGAGTCCTGCGATCGGGGACGAATACGGTGCACGGATTAAAGAAGCTGACGTACCCGGAGAGGCTACCTAAGTTGGATATGTTTTCAATGTATTACAGGCGGATTTCGGGTGACTTGGTTCTCACATATCGTATAATGATGGGTCAGATTGGTCCTGATTTGACTGGACTATTTCGCACAAGTCGAGCGCCAACCCTTCGTGAGCACCCAGTAAAGTTGCACTTACCCCGGTCTGACGGGGTTTGGGCAGTTTTTCCGTCGTCGCGAGGTATCATAGGTTAGTGGAACGCACTCTCTGCAGCCATCGTGATGGCACGGACGGTGAAAGAGTCCTAGCATCGACTTGACGCTCCTCGTCTGTAGTTTAAAGTCTTCCCTTTAATGTCTTAAACGGTTGTCTAGCTACTATGGCCTACGCTTCGTTAACTCATTTTAACTTACATCTTAATAGTGCCTACGAACTTCGATAACCTTGTCTTCTTCTCTGTTTTCTTCCTTTTGCGGACACTACTGTTTTCTTTTATTCTTCACGTGGCCGGCACAGCGGGGACTTCTAGTGCAGAGCACGTGGGCATTGTTTAGTTGCTCAAGTGAATCGCATGTGTTGCTTTGGCGCTCCATTGGCACATCAATGCGCCCGTTTCCCTGTGGGTTCGACGACGTTTTCGAAGCTGGAACGTTCACGGGATATTCCTGCTGTTCCGGTCTCATTTGAACTGGACTTGTTTTCTGCCGAGTTGAGCTTACCTACCGTTCTGTAAATTGGAGGATAAAAGTGCGCTGTTTAACCTGTTGCGTTCTTTGTTGGATACGCACGACTGTACGCATTACTATCGTCTTATGGAGGTTATAATGCGGCGCCGCGGTGAATGCTTCCAGTACCTCTGTCGCACGTGGATCCCATGGCGGCTTAGCTGGGCGGCGCATTTGATGGGCCACCTGGTGTTAGTTGAGTGCAATTGCACCAAGCGTGTTGAAAATCACAATAAGCTGCTGAAGGAAACGTTAAATGGGCGGTCAACTCTACTTCACCTGTTTCAGATGATAATGCAGCCGTGCAGTGAAATGTTGGAGGAGAGGAAAACGGTTACTGCCAGAGATAAGCTTTATATGTGCGACGTTGAGGACCGTGTATCCCGTGGGCTGTTGATTTTGATGTAGATGCCCTCGTGCGGCACAGTCAAAGAGTTTGCATCCGCAGTGTGAACCCAGATGGCAGGTATTGGCTAGTGGAGGACGAGCGCCTGGTTGCATGCAGCGTGTGCTCATAGCGAATGACAGCGCACGCGAATGTCGCTTTAATCATCAGTGGCGCATTTCATGTGCCCACATTGTGCAAGATGCTAGCCTGCATGCATACGAGGAAGAGGTAGTTCTTCGTGGTTGTCGTTGGGTGCTGCCAGCGGAAAAGCTTGCAGAGACGAACCTGTCAAAGTACACAGAGGGAACAGTGACCGTCGCGCGGATGCCACCCCGTAGTGACGGTGTGCGTGACCGCGCTGGAAAACTGCTCATCGCTGCCACTGGACCTCCTTGCACCTCTTGGTGCTCTCATATGAGGCAATAATGTTTCCTATTCGCAGGTGAAGTCCGATTTCTATGCTGACTTACAGTTCATAGCCCAAGCTCACATGCGCCGCCCTCCGCCGTCCTGGTTATCCCTGCAATTGCCCGTGCTCACACCGCCTGGTACTACCATATGAAGCATGAGTGATGCTTAGCCACAGGTGAGCTTCCATTTCATTAACGACTTCACTTCCGAGCTCAAGTACATATGCGCCGTCCTCCGCCTTCATGTTTATCGCTGCCACTGTACAATTGGCTTACCCTTTGTCGCTTCCCTGTCAAGTATGTCCAATGGCCGACAGCGGCCATAATATCGCGTCCTTTCATTTAGCACTTTCCAGTTGCGTCAACATTTCACCTTTCTTAGAGAACGGACCAGCGGCCCCTTTTAGGGCCACATCCTGTCAATGTGTCTTGACGTCCCACATCGCAAAGGAAACATGCAAATCTGCAAGTTCCTTACGGCGGAGCACAGGGCCACAGGTTCAGTGCAAGCTCAAGTTCGGGTGGGACTGGAACGATAGGGGAATCCCTGAATGCTCCTTCTTGAGTGAATCGTTGAGCCAGGAATTGATGAAGTGCACCGCGTTATTGTTGGATCTGAAACGGTACACGCGTATCCCACCCTGGCCAAACAGTTAATGCTCACGTTTCCTGCCCTAGCAGCCCCTTCTGTGGTAGTCACTTGAAGCAAGCGAAGGAAATGAAGAGAAACCGAAGGTACGGAATAAGGAAGTTCAGTTGAAATAAGAAAATAATCCCAAGGCATGAAGAAAAGTAGAGAAAAGAAACGCGAGGTATGAAGGTGCGGGTTAGTCAGGAAAAGGGAAAAGTTTCGTGTTGCCACCCAAAAACGGCAAGTTGCCGCTCAAACCCCATAATCGTATATTTGCTGATAACTCTTTCCAGAAGCATGTTCCAAAGCTCGATGACTCGGCGTGACAGCCGGACCTCCGCCCTAATCCGATCGGGCCGTGGTCTCTCCAGCTTTAAGGAATGACCGCGTAGAACATACAATCTAGCGGGACTGA